ACCCTGCAAACAAAAAAGAAAAAAAAAAAAAAGGTCATGTTTTGCATTTTGTACATTTTATTCCCTAAAAAGGGCCCCAACCACAACTTCAGAGTTGCTCACGAACACGTTTAGCTATTTCAGAGGTCATTGTATGGGTCTTGGCATTCCTTTTATGCTCATTTAATCTGTCGTTAATGCGTCTTTATGTTTGACCTACATACGTAGACCCGCAAGCTAGAGATATTTCATACACGACACTGTTCCAACAAACTGATTTTTCAAGATGACCCTTTTGCACTCCTTCGTACCCGCGTGTAATGGCGCCATCCTGTTGGACTTGAAAGCGGAAATAGACACACCTATCTACACCAAAGTCATTCGCATAAAAGCAGGAGCACAGGTTTAACCCGTGTGTCTGGGTTCTGTAAATAGTCTTTTTAAGGTCGAGCCCCCTTTCATCGTCCCTTTTGTGTCTGAACGTGTGTGTGTTCGCATTCTTTCACCACAGCATCATAGAGAATGGTTTTGTGCGCCTCATGCAGATGGCGTCGCGAAAACTCACCCAGATGTACCCAAATATCCGTCACTCCAGCCGCCGCGCGTGGTTTAAAGACCCGAGATATTACCGTTTTTTGCTTTGCATTTTACGAAACGGAATCGCGATATTTATTTTAAAAAATAGACGTGATTTCTATCTTTTTTTTTTAAGATAAACGATACAAAAATTACAAGCTGCGAATCCCTTCAGCATTAAAACCATTCCATCGCCCCTTTAAATATTCTTGTTTTCGATCCACCGCCCAGCCTGTCTCACGTTGTAATGTTACCTCTATTCGGTCGGAACCCTCGTATAACAAGGACATAATAAACGAAAACGACCTAAAATCCACTCGCAGTTTACGCCAGGGCCGTAAGCTTGTCGAAACTGGAACACACAAAATGTAATTTACGGAATGGCATCTCGGCCCACCAGGCAGTGCGCCAGCGCCGTACATGAAGCAGTCAAGAAACTTCTCAAACTGACAAAATTAAAAAAAGGATGGCTCCCAGAAGTTTTTACCCTAAAATATCCTAACGCGAACAGAGAGGGTCATCATACCAACTAAAAAATTCTGACGATGTCCTGACTCCTCAGCACTAATAACTTCGGTTGGGCGAGGTAGGGCGCTGTGTAACAAAAACTTTGTGAAAAGTTGTGCTCTGAATGAGTATGGTCGCGGGCTTTTTATTTCACAATTTATTTGTACGAGATATAAAACGCGGCATAAATTAATATCGAGTAAGCTTCGAGAGTTCGCAAAAACGTCGTGCCCGCGGAACTTCAAATCTAGAATAAATGCTGTCTTCACGCTTTCTCCACGATTTTATCTTTTTTGCTATATATTTCCTAAGTTAAAAGTTTTTCGGTCGCCAGCGCGTGCAGCTGACTAAATTGGTTGTCACCGGAATGCAACTTTCAGTGTCTCCCACCGCTAAACAAATTAATGGCGAGATATTTTTATTTTCGTTTTAGCTACCCAGATTGTCTCACATTGGTTTGTGTCCTCTATCTTACCGGATGAGACCAGCGACAAAGACATTTGTATCAGAAGCGTAAACAAGACCAATCTAAACCTCCTTTGAAGGTTACATGCTCAACCGTAAGCTTGTAAAAACTCGATCTCGCAAAATGTAAGCCACGGCATGGTGTGTCGGTCTGTCGATCTAGAGTTCCTATAGGCTCCCTACAGGAGCCAGAGTTGCGCGTTTGATTCCACGTGCCGCGTGCCGCCCTCGCCGCTATTCGCAGAGATCCGATCAGGTGAGGAGCCGTATCAAGTGTCGTGCAGCAAAGTAGACGTTGCACGCGCCCCGGCGTACGTTCCCTGGCTTTTGAGCGCGCCTCGAACGCGCGGCGCTGCTATTCGCCGAATTCAGTCACGTGAGGAGCTGTATCCACATGCCATGCATGAACGCGCAACTCTGGCTCCCGTAGGGACCTATACAGCAACTCTACGTTGACCTAGGGTGCCTGCATGTCTGTCTGTCTCAGGGTGAAGACATCCATTGTTGCACTGAATGTGCCAGCGCTTGACGCTCTCGCGCACTCGCTGCATGACTTGGGCGGTAAAATGGCGTCTGTGCATTAGCCAAAGCTACGCGCTCGAGCTGAGTGACACCGGATTACGCGCACTTCAAAAGGCATGAAAAACAATTGAGCGGAAAAATGGCTGAGATGTCACCACTCAAGCAAAGGCGCGCGTGTGTATGAAGGCACTCTACGTTGAGCTGCCCGCCAGCGCCCTCTATGAAACAGTCAGGTAACTTTTTGAACTTGGAAGTAAATAGGAAAACGTAAAAGAGAAAAACGAACAAAAAGGGAACGTCAGCAATTTCAAAGAATCTGTGAAGCAAAAAAGAAAAAAGAAGTAAAGTAAAAGCATAAACTCCAGGATCGGATTTAACTTTCACAAGGCTAGTCATCCACGTTCCCTTAAAGCAAAGGAAGCCTGGCCCGAGGGAAGGCTTCCCCTTCCCATTATCCTTTCGAATCCCCAGGGGACTCTTCTAGCACCCCGTTCTCTTTCCCCTTGCTCGCTCCTTCTATTTGAGAGAGGATATTCCTTCCGAAGGGGTGCTAGCGCACGCTGTGGGTGTTGTCACGCCGTCTAACTCCCTCGAACTCCCCTCCTTTCTTAGAGTGTAGGGTGCCTTCATGTCTCCCTAACCGCGGGCGAGTAAGCTATCAAGCGCTTTAGAAAAAGCAGCTTCCCTTTGTGACGTAGTTTGTGACGCCTGCTGGCTTTTCTCTCCGTATTCCGCTCTGCGGTGCTTATCTTCAGCGGAGGCCGGAGACGTGAACGAAGGGGAGCTTAGTCAAAGTCGAGGTCATGGGGAATTCCGGACTGTCTCAGAAAGGGAAGCAAAACCTGGTTGTGAGTCTGAGCACAGGGCAGAGGTCCCTGCTGTGATACCCCCCCCCCCCCCCCCCGTCTTCCTCCTCGTGTTTCCGCATTTCCCTTTTCAATGAGCACACCGCATAAGCTATCTTCCATAAGCCCATGGGCGACAGCACGGGCTTATGGAGTTATTGGAACGCATTTTTTTCTAGCCGCTGGAACTTGTAATGGGTACCTCGTTCCCAGATAGAGAAGGAACGAGAAACGAGCTGTAGTTCCTGCTTTGGAGGAACGTGGACAACATCGCTAGAAAGTACTCCCTCGATTTCTGCCTGATGCGGTCATAGAAGCATCATCTTGACCGTGACCCTGGCGGCCAGGTGGTGCCATCGCAGCGGTGGCGGATGGACCAGACGCCGGTTCTATGGCAAGCCGCTCTCCATCTGGACACAGTTCACGTAAACTTCGACAGAAATGAGTTTGGGGCTCTCCAACGACAGTGACACTCGCGTTTTCTCGTACCTTCTTTCCGGGAATCGTAGCGCCAACCATCATGATTACGACATCCAACAAGATGACACGCCGGCATCTCTGACGTCTTTTTTCGTAACTTTGGGACCGTTTTGGATTTGCGGGCGGGGGAAGACGGTAAACACACACGTCCAAGACGCGTCCCCGGCACCGCACTCTAAAGCGCGAAACACATGTACGACGAAACCGTCCGATCCGACGTCCGACCGCGCAATACGACGGTCGGAGGCGAGGGTTTTCAACGCTCTCCGATGCTTCGAAAACCCTCTCCCTCCAAGGTCATTCCGGCAGTCCGCACGTCGGATCGGAAGGTTTTCGTCGTACATGTGTTTCGCGCTTAAACACGACACAACGTAAGCGCGTCTTGACGTTTTTGCGCAGTTGACGTTTCCATCCTCGTCTTCGAGGGGGACAATCTTCCGGATTTTTATGAACGATCACATAATACCAAACCCAACTTGGCTGAACATGTTCAAAAAACAACTTCCTCAAAGTACGAATGTCCAACGGCATGAAGCAGGTAGGATGAGCAAAGCCACTGCTGGTTTCTGGGTCTTTCGCAGTGCAGCTGGTTCAGCTCACCCGCCGAAGGCAAGGAGAAGGCAGCAGAGTGCTTACCTCTGCCATTCTCAGCCTAGTTCTGAAAGGTCTTTAAACGAATCTCCCTAATCTCAAAAGTTCGCCCGTCCGTCCGTTTATCCGTCGATGCACTTTCCCACTAAATTTAGCGGTGAAATTGGCTCTAAGTGACGTGAGACTATAAAGTGGAGCAGCAACTTGACACAGCGATGTGCGTCATGTAATCTGGTAACGTGACGCCAGGTGCCTGCTAAATTTTAAATTTATATGTCTGATGTGCCGTGGGGTAGCAGAGACTTAAAAGCAGTGGTCCAATACGTTATAAAAAAAAGAAAAAAAAGAAACGCTATGCAATTTCGGGTTTCACGGTGACTCTTTCAAAAGATGAAAGGGAACGGTGAAGGTCAAAACGCAGATTGTTTACGTTGTCAAGTATCGTCGAGCTATAATCGGCCCCCGTATTTCCAATATCCCCCCCCCCCCCCCCCCCAGCATCTTCCACAGAGCAACACAGTGAGAGTGGTCGGGCCAAAACGAGCTCCATTCATTTTTTATAGTGATATCTTTTAATGAAAACCCTGAATGAACTTTACTTGACCGTGTGGTTTGTGGTCGCACCGCAGCATGGCCGTGGAAGAGATTGTCAGCAACGGGGCGTAGAATTTGGCTTGACGTCAGAGGGCGCGCGACCACTTGCGTAAGGCCGCGCTGAAGGCCGGAGTGGAATGGTGAAAATTGTGCGCTAACGCTTTCCTCTTTTAGTCCCCCCCCCCCCCCCCCCCCCCCCCCCCCATTATTTCCTTTCTTAGCGGAGGCTGTGCAGGAACGGCAATGCGCAGTAAGGTGGAAACTACGTAATAGCAGAAACATCTAGTAGGCGCGGAGGCATTTCGAAGATCAGCTTGTTAAAACACTATCAAGTGCTACCTCGACTACATTGCATCCTGTAAATTTTAAGCCAGGCGATTCATTCTCGCACAACCTTTGTCGAGAGTACATCAGTATATTCATGTCTCTCTTTCCTTTCAGGTGTTTGGAACCCGGACGTTTGCCCGCTCGTCGAGTTCCTCAGAGCGGTCGTTGTTTCAGCAGAATGGACCCTGCTGAACCAGGCGTTTCAAATCGCAGGTGTCGTGGCATTGGTGGACATGGAAGAACTTCACCTCACTCACCTTCTTCACTACACACCGTCGGAAATCAGAAGGGTGTTCAAGCTAGTTCAGGTACAACTGCAAAGGTTTACATTTATTCGGCGATTGCAACAACTGCAAGACGTGCGTAAAGTGTCTAAAAGCCAACCCCCGTAACATTGCTCCTAATTAATAGTATGCATACTATACTGATATCGTACACCAACGCAGGTTTGTAATCTCAGGAACACATGTGGAAGCTGATGACACTTTTGTTGAATGGGTGAAGCATTTTTCGATTTAAAGATAACATGACTGAAAACCACGAATTTATTTTCTTGGTTACCATACAGCACACATGTTGTGAACTACATTGATTCCATGATGGTTCAATTTATCAAAATTATTAATAAAAAAACAACTACGACTGTGACCGACGAAAAGAATCAGGATCCACTGTTCATTTTATTTTATTTGCCTCATGGGTAGATATTATTAAATGAAAACCACATTAAGAATACACATCTTGTCCTTCACCACTAAAGAAGGCGCAACAACACAAAAAAGCAAAACCGGATTTCGGTCGATAAAGATAGTGTCATTAAAGTGATAATAACAAAACTGACGACGGTGCCAAGACAACACAAAATCGTGCAAAAAAAAAAAAAAAACAGTTTAATAATCTCGCGCTTCAATAGTGCAGTGAAATGCAGATCAGACTCAGCAATTATAGAACTGTTTATAATGGTCTTTAAATAATATGGCATACTTGTACAATGATGCTCCAGTTGTTGTGTTAGTAATGAGTACTATCTAACCGTTTAGGTAGAGGATTTAGTTACTGACTTTTGTTTTACATTTGCAAGTGTTAATGTGGATTTGCTACAAGAAGCAAAATGAAGATATTGCACCGATATCGTCTAGAAGGATATTGTAAATGTTGTGTGTAGTGTTTTTCCTCTTTCCTATTAATAACGCAATCGTCTGCGAAATGTCTAGTTGGGGATTCTAAAGCAGAAGAGAGATCACCATTATAGATTAGAAAGAATAAAGGCCCGAGGACACTACCTTGGGGGACACCGGATGCAACTGTGGTCGAACGCGATGTTGGTTCATTATTACCACTTGGTTTCTTGTTCCAAGCAAGAGCTACTGCGCACGCCCAGAACGCCTTCCATAGACCAGTGGAAATAGATGGCCGCACACAAAAGGCGTTCAATGAAAAGGGCTATAGCAGATAGGCTCCAAGATATATTTGTCTTTTTAATTGCAGGAATGCTACCCCGTGCGCCTCAGGGGTATCTACGTCGTAAACAACCCTCCAGTCTTTCAGCTCTTGTACGCTCTCGTCAAGTTGGTGCTGAAGCCTAAGCTTCAGAGGAGGGTAAGGAGCTTCGCGGCGCTCATTTAGAGCGACGAAGAATATTTGAAGCATCCCATTGAGCTGCTACGTGACAGCGCCACAAAAATCAGCTCCGTTCATACTTCTACCAAAAAACTTCCACAATATGTTTATTAGAAATTGGGTGTATTGAATCTCTACAGTCCGCGGGAACTAAGATAACAACCTGATTTTCTATCGTTTGCTATATACTTTCTAGAAGTAATATTTTTGAAACTGAAATATACGCGGCTTTCACTTACGTCACATGGGCTATAATTGTAGGGGCGTTGGTGCCGAGCACGTACCTTTGCAGCCTATAACTTACATCGCCAGGATTTTTCTTTTCTGCAAGCACAAGTAAAAACTACTTGTGCTTGCAGAAAAAAATGAAAGCCGTTTACAATTCCCTGTAACGCCGGTTGGAGCGCAGCTCTTGAGGAGGAGGATGGAAGCGTACTGAGGGAGAGGTGACTCCTTAAGGTCACGTGACCTCATGGGAGGTCGGATGACGTCAAGGGGGTCACGTGACCTCAGGCGGCTACGTGACCTCAGGGAGTCACGTGACCTCAGGCGGCTACGTGACCTCAGGGAGTCACGTGACTTCAGGGGTAACGTGACCTCAGGGGGTTCACGTGACTCCAGGGGGGTCACGTGACCTTAGGGGGTCACGTGGCCTCAAGCGGTCACGTGACCTCGAGGGGGGGTCACATGACCTCAGGGGGGAACACGTGACCTCAGGGGGGTCTCGTAAACTCGGGGGGGGTCACGTGACCTCGGGGGAGGGGCTCGAGTGGTGCATTATGGGACATTTCCCATAATCCACCGCGCGGTTACGCCAACGGCGATGCCGACGCCGACGCCAACGCCGACGCCGCTCAAGCTGGAAACGGGTGCCTAAGAGCTGCGCTTTAAAAAAGTTTCACAGCGTGGTGAAGTCAGGTTCTAGCCCACTAAATATACGGGCAAAAACAAGGGAGAGGAGGATACGAGCGCGTGGGGGCGCCAGAGCTCCGAGCTTTGGTTGGAATGGTTGGTGGGTAGAGGAAAAATTAACTTTCTTTCCCTCTATTCACTGTTTGAAAGCGTTCGAGCATAACCACCGTACGCCGGCGCTTGGCGTCTGAGTGCGTTCGAAGAGTGCGTATAGAGATAACGGCTGGCTAATCTTTCCAACCAGAGCTCGGTGTACAGACATCTTCGGCCACTCTCATCTTCTCTTTTCCCACCGTTTTAGCCGTGCGACGAGGCGTGAATTCGAAATTTTGTACAATAAGCTCTAAGGCCCGCTTCAGACGGGGCAACTTTTCCAGCAATTTTGAGGTTGCTGGCGGGTTGTTCCCTAGCTTTCTCTAGATCGACGCGAATTGCTGAGATCGGGTCCGGCTCGAACAAGCGAGCAACTCGGAGCAATTCGAAGACGGTTGAAGCGGCTGCAGCCAATCAAAGACGCGATATTTTCACATGACAGCCCTGTAGTGGTGATGATGACAGCTAAAGACTTATTTCTGGTTTGAAATGGATCGTTTTCGGAAATAAACAGTTTCAGAAAAATTAGTTAGTATTCTCAACGCCGTTCAAAGATATAAGAACGCGTTTTTAGCGCGTAGCTGGGCGTCTAAATAGTGAAAGAAAAATCAAATTTAATGATGATGATGGCAAGTCGGAGCGATTCGGTTGCTGCGTGTGAACGCGGGCGGCCCGTGTTGGTGGTGTTGCGACGTCAAGTTGCTGGGTGAAATTGCTCTGTCTGAAGGGGGCCTTACTGTTGTAAAAAAAAACACAAAAAAAAAAAAGAAATCCCAGTTGCTTTAAGATATTTGACTCGCGGTTTCCTCTAACAAAGCTAATTGGGGATAAAACCGGTGCCTTCCTTTCGTTTCCAATTTTATCGAACAGATTTTAAAGGCTTTACGGAGAGCAAGCTTTTTGCGCAGGAGTTGCGGTGACGCCGGAAAAACGCCGAGCTATGATCGGCTTTCATTGAAGAATAGTGGGTAGACCTCGAAGCAACCTGCCTTGAGGTCTACCCACTATGCTTCAAACAGAGCCAGTCAGACCTCGGCGTCGTTCTGACGACACCACAACCCCTGCTAAGAAAGCAGACGAACCTGTGCTCCGCATATACTCACTGGCCTCTTAAGAAACGCATTACGTGACGAGCCCCGATAATGTTCCTATCGTTCTGCAGCTGATATGATTGCGGAAATGTTCGATAAGGAAAGCCGCAACCGAATCATGAAGCAAGAAGCTTGAAAATATTGAGGCACGCTCTGCCTTTCTTGAACTGTCAGAGGCTATGTGGGAAGAAGCTGAGGGGGAGTGTAGGAGACGAGAGCGCGCGGGGACACCAGAACGGCGAGCTCTGATTGGACCGCTTAGTGGGTAGACCTAAAGCTAGCTGCCTTTGTCTCGGCTGCACTGTTCGAACCCGTTCGAACGGGAACGCCGGATGCCGGCGTTACGCGTTCTAATGCGCTACACAAATGCAGTCGGAGACAGAGGCAGCTAGCTTTAGGTCTACCCACTAATCATTCCAGTCAGATCTCGCCGTTCTGGTGACCCTCAGCGCTTTTGTTTCCTCTTCTTACCCAGTTTCTCTCAACTGCAGATCTCACATTTTGGGTCGTCATCTTTTTTCAGATACACATCATTGGGCGCGACTACCAGAAGCTTCATAAGCTCATTCCTCGCGAACGACTGCCCGAAGAATACGACGGCACCCTGGAAAAATACGACTACGACGATCTTGAAAGGAAGTTGCTAAGCCAAGAAAACTTTTTTGTGGAGCTTGGCAGCTACGGCTACCAGTAAAGACAGCCAGGGAAAGAATCGACTGGAGTGAATAAATCATCCGAGTGCGCTTAAAAGAGCCTGGCGAAGCGACTAGCCTGCGCAATGCTCTACATTGTCTCGTAAGAAAATAAATATTTACCCGCAGGTTTCCGTAGCACCAATTGAAGCGAATTAAATGGAAATCTGCTGCGTCATCGTTGGGTTGGAACTCGTGTTCTCGCTGACTGATCAAGGGTCTCAGACGAATCTGATGCAGTATTGAAATCTACACCTCTGCTCGAGTAGCTCTCCGGCAAGCAACGCGGGACATTCGACACTACGGCGTTAATATCCATGAGCATAGGTCGGCATTATCAGCTGACCTTACAAACACTCGCGATCACTTCAGTTTCCTTCATCAAGACTCACTCACACTCACAATCACGACTTATTCAAAACAGGGCCATCAAAAAAGTCACAATCAGAATTCAACGCGAAACTAAACCTCACTTCCAGTCACAATCACAATTTATGCAAAAAAGCGGCTCACCATCATGAGTAAAGACGAGACAAAAACACGCTCTCTTTCGTTATCGCACTTAGAGATCATCACACTCACGTTTAATCACACTCAAAACTCATCACGATCATCACACAGCTCATCGCGGTCATCACACTCGTAGCTCAGACCGCTCATCACACACCACAGCTCAGTGCTCTCATCACACTCGCAGCCTCATCACGGTCATCTAACTCATTCACACATTTACCCACTCGCTCGCTCTATCGCTCGTTCACAAAGCGACTCACTCACTCACTCACTCACTCACTCGCTCGCTCGCTCGCTCACTCACTTACTCACCCACTCACCCATTCATTCACTCACTCACTCACTCACTCGCACACTCACTCACTCACTTACTTACACTCACGATTTATTCAAAAGAGTGTTATCACACAGTCACCACAAGAATTCAACGCGAATATAAAACTCACTTGCACTCACAATCACGATTTATGCAAGACAGGACCATCTTACATGAGCATGGCAAAGCGACTAACCTGCGCATCACTCATTACCTAACTCACACAATTAATTCAAAGTAGGGTCATCACAGAGAGTCACAATCAAAATTCAAAGCGAAACTAAAACTCGCTCGTACTCACAATCACGATTTATTAAAAACAGGGCAGCTCACATTAGAATTGCCAAGCGACTAACCTGCGAATCGCAGTGGGTGTATATCACTCACTCACTCACTCACTCACTCACTCGCTCGCTCGCCCGCCCGCCCGCCCGCCCGCCCGCCCGTCCGCCCGCCCGCCCGCCCGCCCGCCCGCCCGCCCGCCCGCCCAAACTCTTAGTCACGATTTATTCAAAACAGTCATCACAGTCACCATCAGAATTCAACCCGAATCTAGAATTCACTCCCACTTACAATAATGCTTTATGCAATGCAGGGCCCTCTTACGGGAGCATGGCCAAGTGGGTAATCTACGCATCGTAGTGGGTTCATATCGCTCAATCCACTCACACTCAAATTTATGTATAAAAGAGTCATCACAGTCACCTCCAGAATTCACCACGAAACTAAAACCCAATCCCAGTCACTATCGCGATTTACGCAAACCAGGGCCATCTTCATGAGCATGGTCAACTCGCTCACTGACTTCCTCACTCACACTCACATTTATTCAAAAAGGGCCATCTGACATGTGTATGGACAAGCCACTAACCTGCGCATTGCCGGGGGTGTATATCACTCACTCCGCTCGCTCACTCACTCACTCGCTCTCTAATAGACTAACTCAATACCTCTCTCACTCACTCAATCACTCACTCATACTCACAGTCACTATTCACGCAAAACAGGGCCATTTTACATGAGCATGACCAAGCGACTAACCTGTGCATCGCAGATGGTGTATATCACTCACTCACTCACGCGTTGCGTGATCTTGATAACGCGTCCTTGAACATCGCTGGTCTATTTTGCTTTCTCCCTTCCCCCCTCCCTCCCTCCTTGCCTCCCTCCTTCGCTTTCTCTCTCTCTCGCGCGCGCGTGCGCGAGCGAACGGAGTTTGGGGCAACCGGTGCTCCCTCCCTCCATACCTCGCTCGCTCTTTCTCTCTCTCTCTCTCTTCAACTTCTCCTCTCCCCCTGTTTCTCTGCCTCCCCTCTTCTCTTTCTCTCCTTCTCTCTCGCGCGCAAGCTGAGCTGGCGCAACAGGCACTTATGATTCAGCCACAATCGCTTTAGCCAGAGGCGTTACGTCACCTTGAAGACACGACTTTGAGGACAGGACCTTGAGGACACGACCCTGAGGACACAACCATGAGAGCATGAGCTTGAGGACGAGGACGTGACCCTGGGCGAGGTTTGGCCTATAAAGATACCGCTTTAAAAATAAAGCCTTGTGAAAGTTTGATAATTCGGAAATGCAATTCTCGAAATAAAACAGGATTCCCGATCAAAGTTGGAAGTTAAGCTACACGATGTTGGTATAGATAGCTTAAGGAACATATGACAAAACACCGAAGGTGATATGCAATGGTCTTCATTCGAACGCAGGAAAGCTCTTATTAGATACAGTTCGCATAATGACCATTGCAAACATGGCGCCCCGACAATATGCCCCATGAGTGCAGGAACTTGCAGCCTACGCGTGAAGATAGCTTTGACAAGCTTGAAATTGCACGGGCTTGTCCGAACGACCAGGGACATGGCGGCGGCCAGTGGCTTTGCTTGCAAAACTGAGGGGAAAGAAATGCGAAACGATTGGCACTTGGAGGTTTTATTTTATTTTTTTTAATATTTGTGCACAAGGAGTTTTGACATAAGATGGAGAAGGCAACTTATAAATCTCAGATAAAAATCTTTGGCTGGAAGTAGGGACCAAACTTGGACGTAGTTCAACTACTCTACTCAAACTACAGTAGTTTAACTACTTTTCCGAGTAACTTGGTAACTTTCAATTCCAACTTTATTTGGGTAATTAGTAGTTTAATTTAACTACGTTTTTCGAATAACTTCTACTCAAATTACTAACTACTTTCGAAATCTACTGCTAATTTTGCTCATCACAAAAGTTTGAGCGCAGAAATAAATAAGACGCCGGCAGATGAAGTGGCATTCCCGAACAAGAGGCCCCCTCACATTCCGTTCCCACGCATTTATACTTGGCAGGCAGCCGTAAAACTGCATCACAGGCGTCCTTGGGACAAGGTGGCGACGAGCAGCCAAAACATAACACCGGCGCGCACGAACGCAGGAAGAGATGCTTAACAAGCCTTGGTCGGGTATTGACCTAACCCGGTAATGCACGCAGGCGCCGCGCCTCCAGCTGCAACCGTGAAAAACGGGGACACTCCGAGGGTTGTTGTTGTTTTCATGTTGTCTGCCTTTAGTGAGTTCTCCCGGAAGCGGTTTGGGGGTTCCACGAGAGGCACCAAAGGAATGACCTCGCAGCTGGACGCCTGTTCCCATGGTCGCCTCGTCGTCAGCGCATACTCGCTTGCAAAGCCGGACTCCCCCGCGCACAAACGCAGACACGGATAATTCGTTCATGGGAGCTCGTTCCCACTTCCAGCTGCGACTGTACGAGCGACGATGCTTGTTCACGTTATCCTTCGCGTCCTTCCGACTTTCCACGCCAGGGAGACCTCCTCTTTGTTGAAAACGATGTACTTGTAAGGCGTGTCAGGCGCGTCAGGATACCGTAGTCGGCTACGAGGATTGCAAGTCACCCTTGGGAGATCCTTTTGTTAGACCCGGCGTCAGCGGCGAACTATATTTCGTTTCATGTTCTGTTAAACCAAAATAATCTTTTTCAGTAGCGTAGCACTAAGGTGCCTTCATGTCCCGCAGCGAACATGAAGGCACTCCACGTAGCACTAGCACTGCAACGAGACGCGCAGTCACTCGGATGATCTCATCGTCGTGGCGTGAGACTTGAACACTTAACGGTCAAGTGTACTTGCCCAGCGTACTCTCCGAACGTCGTGGGAATAAAGAGGGGCCAGTCATAATAATCAAAACTTGGGAAAGAAAAAGTAGGAGAGCTAGTTATAAGCGACCCTCTAGCCGAGGCAAACCTCACATTTTTCGTCATAGACACCTAAGATGCCGACACTGGCTTACCCCACCCTGCACAGCCTGTTTCTGAAATTTAACGCTGCCCTTCTATCGAGCGCGTTGGTGGAACGCGTTTTTAGCTCTGGCTGGAAATGTTTTTAGGGAAAAAAAGGGGAAAACTCTCCAATCAAGAACTTTGAAAGTCAATTGCTTCTACGAGCGAATAAACTATTTTATGACAATGCAAGCCATAAAATGACTGCATTTATTTTAGGCTCGCAGGGTGTTTTACGGATCAAAACAGCTATTCATTTCGCTACGACAAAATATGAAAAGAAACTTCGAAAGTAACTTCAAAGTAACTCGCTACTTTTTTTACAGTAGTTAGTAGTTAACTCAATTACTATTACAAATGCGTAATTTCTACTCTACTCCAATTACTTTTTGGCGTCGATACTCAGTAACTTAACTACCTTTTTAGAGTAATTTGTACATGTCTGGTAGGGATGCATTTTAGAAAATACAGGTAAGAAAATATCTCTTTACGCCACAAAAAAGTAAATATAAGATGCAAGACCGCGGACTAGATGGGCTTCATTACGTGTAGATAACACAGGACGGATATTTCATGAGGAAGTATGTGCATTTGACGATATTAGAGGCACTTCATTGTATGATGCCAGGGTGGGAGATGGGCAAACTAAGAAGCACATAGCAAAATATCCGGATATATAGATACAGTGTGTGGAGCCTTGTCGAGGGGAGGAAAAAGGCTGAACACTTCGTACTTTAAAGCAGCGGTTCTCAAGAGGGGTTCCGCCAGACACTGCCTCATCAGTAAAGCCCGGCAATAAAAGTTGTCTTCTTTCAGCTTGAGAAGAAATGTTTCAGTTCTCGGGCGAGTTTTCTCTTGTGTATGTCAATAAGAAAACTCTAGTTCACACTAGCCCTTAGTCACATCCATTCATTAAATCATTATTATATTTAACCTGCACATTTCCCTTCCCTTCACCACGAACGGGGTCCCCCATCATGTCCGCCGACCCACAAGGGGTCCACGAAACATCGATGGTTGAGAACCACTGCTTTAAAGGGTTCACTTAGCAGTTGCC